TAGTCAATGTACTATACAGTCCAGCTGGGAACAAATTCTCATAATATCAGTCACGTGACCATCAAGTAGCGGTGGCAGTTAGAGTGGTTTGTCAGCATGATTAGCTTTTGGATCTGTGGGAGAACACACTCCTGGGTGTGTCTGGGTGGGCACACAGAGGTGACCTTGGGTGCTATGTTCCATCCCTTGCCCCTTCCTTTCTGGGACCATTTTCCTGCTCTGCTTTCAACCCGACATAAGCTCAGGGGCTTTGCTCCACAATGATGTTTCTGCCATGGAGCCAGTCAAGGACTAAATCCCATGAAACTGTAAGCCAAGTTACACTTCCTCTCCTTTAAAAGTAGTGAATGTTGGATTTTTGTTTCAGTGATGACAAAAATGATTAATACACAAAATTGGTACCAGAGAGGGTGGGTCCTTGCTGTGATTGTGCCTGACCATGTGGTTAAGAAGCCTTTGGAACTGGTTTATGGGAAGAGTTTGGGAAAGTTTGGAGATTCCCACTAAAGAAGCCCTAGAATGAAGTAAGCAGAGCCTGAAAGATGATTCTGGTCAGGGCTTGGAAGAACAGAATGCTGACAAGAAAGTGAGCAATAAAGACTAGGCTCAGGAGGTTTCAAGTGGGAACAGAAATTCCAGTGGCAGCTGAGCTAGAGGCCATGTATGTTATACTGTGGCAGAAAATTTGTCTACGTTTTGTCCATGTCCTTAGACTTTATAGAAGACTGAGACAAAGGGCAGTGGGCTAATTGATCAGGTAGATGAAATTTCAGAGCCGCTCAAATTTATGCTGTGGTATGGAGAGTGCTGGCTGCTTTTAGCCAAATTTATAGTGAAAATAAGGGGCCAAAAGCAGAGCATAAAAATGTAAAAACCTTAAATTTTGGCTCAGAAAGAACATTATGTAAAGTTGGGACCAAAGGAGGTGTGGTTGCTGAAAAGATTTGCTGCATTAGAAAGGAACCAAGGGCTTTGTGCAGGGACAAGAAAAAAGATGACTTGAGGGCATCTCAGAAATCAGCAAGACCCCACCCATCACAGGCTCAAGGGTGCAGAGGTTCGAAGCTTGGATTAGAGAAGAGTGCCCTCGTGCTGCCTAGGGAACTGTTACCGCACACTCACTGCACCATGCTTGGCCATTCAGGCACTCAGAGGATGCTGCCACCGTGATGCACAGGGGCCTGGCTACACTTCTGCTGAGAACAGCCCCTGGCATTGTCCACACGATGCTGATGCTGCTTTTACCAGCATGCAGAATACAAGAGTAGTGGGTCAGGGAGGCTGCCACCCAGTCTTCGAAGAAAGGCCGGGGAGGCCAGGCAAGGAGGCCACGAGAGGTCAACACATGAAACCTTGGGAAGGAAGCTAAAGGTATGGTTGAAACCCCATGAATTTGGCAATGACAGGAACATGAAACATCTACTGGGGAAAGCTGAATGCAGTGAGCAGAGCCAGCCCAAGATGAGAGACCATGTGGGCTGTAAGCAGTAAGACCACAGGTGTGGGCTGGCCAGGCCTCCAGGGACTTGGATCTCAACACCGATGTGTGCCGGTGCTGGAGGTGGACACACAGGGCTTAGTGTCTGTCCTGCTGGATTTCAGTCTTCCTTTGGTCACATTCTTTCCTATCCACCCATTCCTCCCTTTTGGAATGAAATTGTTCACCTTGTACCATTGTACCTTAGAACTATGTAGCTTAGATTACTTAATTTTTTACAGAGAGTCACAAGTTTCCTTGAGTCTCAGAAGAGAGTTGCATTTTGACTATTGGAAAATGTTGCAGCTCTTGATACTTTGGGGAAAAAGGATTGTTGCTTTTCTGATTGTACTCAGGACAGCAGTATTATATTGGGTAGAATTATGGGCTTGGTATTGGCTTTATTGGGAGGTTCCACGTGCTTTAAGGAGCTGTGTTTGGGTGTGAAGTTGACAAGTTATGGTGAAGTTGTGGGGGAGTGCCAACTTGACTGGCTCTTGGATTTGCCTGGGGGTTGGCAGAGCACATTTGTTGAGCGGACTATGGAGGGATTGCCTAGTGGTCAGAGTCTTATTCCTCAGCCGTCCTTGCTGATGCTCCCCTGCTCTCCTGCTCTGCTTCCTGGTTGCCCTGACCTAGCAGCTTGCTCTGCCACAAACTCCCACTAGGATGTTTATACTTTGGAGCAGCCAGCCATGGACTGAACTTTCTGAAAACATGGGCCAAATTCAACCTCTCCCACTTTAAGTTGTGTCAGGTATTTTGTCTCAGCATTTGGAGATGTGACTAATACAGTATTCATTTGATGTAAAGTTTTTTTCTACTGGACGAATAGCAGAAGGAAAGGAGAAAGTGGTGTACTTGAGGGGATAGAATTGCCCACCATACAGAACTAAATCCTCATTTTCTTTACTGAAAAGTTAAGAAGTAATCACTAAGGTAAAAAAAGGAGACTCCTAACAGATGTGAAGTTAAACCAAAAGAATCAGCTGAAAGTGTTGCCCATGTTTTCTCCTGGATAAAAGAAAATGTGTGTGGGGGGTGAGAATTTACTTTCAAAAATAATAAACTTGGTCCGGGGATTTAGCTCAATGGTTCCGCCGCCTGCCTTGCAAGTGCAAGGACCCGAGTTCGATCCCCGGTACCAAAAGAAATAAGCTTGATAGAATTGCTTGAAAGTTAAAAATATCTGCATGTGTAGCTTTGATTTTTTAAAAACGGCAAATTTTGAAAGGAAGCAAAGATGACATATATCTTAGCAAGATGGGTTTCCAATCAAGTATTAGTTTTGAAGGAAAAGAGAAAATGTGAAGATAAAGTAAGTAAGAAAAATGGAAATCAGAAAACTTTATGGCGTTTGATTTCATACAGATCTTACTTCACCAGGAAAAGATGGAGCTCATTCGTGACGTCTTTAGAAAGTCAAAATGGTTGAGTATTGGAAGTGTTGGGTATGTGACAGAGACCAGAAGACACGGAAGAGGAGTCCCAAGAGTCAGCAGAATCAAACTGACTAAATAAGCTGGACGTGCAGGGTACTTTGTCAGTGAGAGCTTGCAGTTTTCTGTTGCAGCTCCAGTTAGGAGCGACCTTGGGGGCTGATGACGAGTGGAGATGTGGTGAAGGGGAACTAAAGGATTGGAGACTTTGTAGGTAGCTCGTGTCCACTGCAGTTAGGGAGGCAAATGAACCCAGATTTGGGAACCACGAGGGAAGGAGGTGGAGGATGTAGAAATCATAATTAGAAGGAACAGGAAGCAAAAAGAGAGTGCGAGATTGAGTTCAGAGATCCAGGTTGCAGCTTTTGAGATTGTAGAACAAAGCTTTTTCAAGTAGCAAGTGGGCCAGCTCCTGGAAGGTCAACTGCAGCAGGTGACATTGACACATCACAGAGGGAAGGAATCAGGCAGAGGCAGAGATGAGAGCCCACACGAGGCCCACCCTGAACCAGGAGGAGCACAACCACACACATACTCCTAGGGTTCAGTACCCGCAGTGGCCCCACGTAGGTCAGCAGCCCTGGAAATTGCCTCAGGCACAGGCGCCTGTGTGCACAGATTGTGCTGGGAGTGCCTTGCCAAACTGCCAGCAGTTCAGCATGTGACTTCTGAAATACGCAAATACGTTAGTAAGGAAAAATTGAATCTTTGTTATGTGATTTTTCTTAATGATTAGAGTGTATTCTAAATAAACCAAACAACAAATTGATTGCCAAAAACCATGTTAATGCCCTTTTAATTCACAAGGGTTAAACACATAAAAGTCAGGATATTGGAAATTAAGGTTCTCATAAATACAGCAATTTGACAACATTATGTGTACTAGGTGTGGGAGGTTTATATTTTACAGCATAAAAGCAGTAGGAAATTCTCACTTAAACCAGATAAAATAACAACTTTGGGGGAAGTCATTAAACATGATTATAGAAAAAAAGTGTCTTGCAATCCCCAAAGAACGATTGTAAAACTTAATATTAGAAAATAATGGGTTCACATCTTAAAAAATGTTTTTGATAATTTTTTATATTAAATCAACTTTCCAAGCACATTGTGTATCCTGACAGTGGTTTGTGCTTCTCATTTGCAGTTCAGCTTTGATCCAGAAAAAGAATTGACTGGCTACTTTCATGATTAGATTGATAAAGATTTTAAATTCAAAGAAAAAAATTAAAATGTCAAAATTTAAGAATTCCAAATACTCTTTTGTTTGGTATATAGACAATATGGGAATATTTAAACATGAAGAAGTGTTTCTCTGTTTGCCCTCTGTATATTTTTGCATACTTTTTGCATGTATGCATTATGTACCTACCAATCTGACCGTGAAAATGCCCTATACCAGTAGCATATAAGGGAGGTATTCGCCTGTATAATGAAGCCAAGAAAGACCTTCTCCTACAAAGTTAGATGTGATGTTTCCCCCCATGATAATTACTAACACAATTTAAATTTTTGCCTCATTCCAATTATTAAATTGCAGGGGAGAAAAACTTATGAGTCTATATCTGATACAAGTGATTTTTTGGGTGCAAAATTAACAAATAAAATCCAACAGACAATCTCCCCCAAAGAAAGCAGATCACAAAAATATAAAGATAAGCTGACATTTTGCTAGTATTTCTACTTTCCATTGTCTGTGTCATAACACAGCAGTTTGTTCTGTTGTGCCGAACAGTAGAGGTCCATTCATGGAAGTGGAATGCGTAACTGCCTGAGCTTGCAGATTGCTGGCCCACTGTTCCAGCCACCTCCTCCGAGGGGCACAGTGGTCTGCGGTCTGCACTGAGAACTCTGCAGCAGTAAACTCTTTCTAAGCTCAATGGAAAAAATGCTTTGTATATTTACTTTTATCTTTGCCCCCTGCTACATTCTGTTGCCAAACAAACAGAAGGACAAATGCAAACTGCCAACTCACATGATGTGCAAACAAGTGTTCTTGAATATTCAGAAGTATGGTGGTATTTCTAAAGTTCAGCGGCAGACCATTTAGCATGTTTCTTTTGTTTCTCATTGCCCTTATTCAGGCACCACAAGGCCACATAAGGAGGGCGAGGTCCCTGGCGTGGACTACATTTTCATCACTGTGGAAGATTTTATGGAATTGGAGAAAAGTGGTGCCCTCCTAGAAAGTGGGACCTATGAAGGTAAGCACACCTTCCTGAGAAGTCTGTACCTCATGGTGTCACTTTATTTTTTATTTGATTGAAATACATGAAAACATTGGATTAGCAATGTGCTGGCGTTCCCGGTTTGAGAGCTTTAATAAGATAATTTTGGAAACAAGTGGAAATACTTCTGAATTAATTCTACTCTTAAAATGCTGAAAGAAAAATGTATATTGATACCTACTGAAGTGTCCTTGTGATTGTCTTCCAGATAGAAAGTCTTTGACCCTAGGTAGCATCTACTAGGGAGCTGGTGGGGTGCCATTCCGGTCCTGTCCGTGTCTCCTTGTCACATTCTCAACTTACTCCTCCTCACCGGTCTTCGTTTGGCTCTCTTGCCAAATGGTGGGACAGGAAAATGTGATCTGTAAATGAATTCCTAAATTCTACTCCCATAGCAAGTCTCCCTGTGTAGCTGAGTCAAATAGGAACAAATGAAACCAAAACCTTCCATTTGAGAAGTGTGCGTTAGTGGAAAGGGCACTGTAATATGAACCAGAATTTGCCTCCCTAACTAATGTGCCATTAGTTACTCTAAATACAATCATGGAAACTTTGTAGTATAGCTGTAAAAGGGCACATGATGGGATTGAAAAGTAAAAAGAAATAATAATGTGCTAATTTGAGCACATTTGTGCAATTTGGGTAACATTTACCTGCATTTGGTTTATGTCTAATGAAATAATGTATCTGCCTGTGTAATTAGATTTTAACGTAACTAAAAAAGTAGAAAACAATACCTTTCATTCCTACTTCATAGTTTTTTATGCATGTAAGTCATATGCACATATACTATTGTTTGAAGTTGTATCTAGTTTTACAGAACTGTAATTAATAGTGATATTAAAATCAGAACTTATATGAATGATGATTTAGCTCACCTAACATCTAAATTCTACCAACTAGCATCAAATAGGCTGCATTTGATATTTAACAATTTGGCCTTCCATTTTCTTAGTTACCTAGTTCAGTGGACTATGGTTATTTACAAACTTAATATATTGAGGTTGTTAAAAACATTGAATTTTCTTCTATTAGTTAGAATTCATAAGATAATTTAGACTGGGACATTTGTTTTAACTAAGGCTGAGATATTTGGTTGTTTATTGTCACATTTCCAGGAAATAGGCACAAATATTCAGGACAGGTTTTGTGCCTAAGCGTTTTGTCTTCTTCATATTGACAAGAATAAAAGGTACTAGAGATTGATTGAAAATATTGTAAATAAACCAGTTGTGTTGGTAATGGAAAGGTGCTTTCAACTATGTAGAAAGTGCTCTGTGGATAAATCATAGAAAAATAGATCAAATAAGTCTGAGTAAATAATACATTTTATCAAATATTTTCTGGTGGGTTTTGTGACAGTGGTAGCCATTAGTTTGTGTGTCCAATAGTAATGTATTGCATTTAATTACTTTATTAAATATCCTATTTATATAGTGAAGAACCAATGACAACATACAGGATCATTCCATGATCAGCCTGATTAGCAATGTGACTTTTTCTTTTTGCTTATGAAAATAAAAACTGTTTAGAAAAACTGAGTATATAAGCTGAAAAAAAATTAAGCCAAACACCTATTTAAAAATTTTCAGGGCGGGGGATTTAGCTCAGTGGTTCGTCGCCTGCTGCGCAAGCGCAAGGACCCCAGTTCAATCCCTGGTACCCCCCACCTCAAAATTTTTTCATTATTCTTAAGCTAGATGTCATGAAATTTTATATCAGTACTTTAAAATATACCTTAGGTTAAATATCAGGTTCCATTTAATTTTTGAAGCCAATATCCTGAGACCATCTAAGTATTACCAAGTTTTGTGAGCTAGAGTAAATCATCCTGATGCTTCTTTAAACATCTTCCCAGTACTGAGTGTACACTTTGCTGGGGTTGGTGCCAATTGTTTTATCACTTCCAGAGTACATACAGCTGAGTATTGTGTAATAAAACTAATTTCCAAATGCAACTTCCTCAGTGTCATCAGTGCTATTATTTACAAATACAGCATGTGTATATAGATAAAAGCAAATCTCTTTTCTCAGATCACATAGCCAACTTGGGTAGCCACCAAGTAAAGATTCTCAAATCTCTGGATCCTACAACTATAGCTAAGAATCCAGTAAAACTCACTTTCTAATAAAAATCACTGCATTCCTGCAGGGCTGGCCATAGAGCTACCACTTAATGAGCCACTTGTCCAGGAAAGACAGGCAATGCTTTTTCTGCTGTTGGTGCTTTCAGAATGTACAGAATAACAATCATGTGCTACTCGACTGGACAAAGACAGATATGAGTGAAAGCTTTTACATTTGTCAGGCCTTCTCAATATCAACTTCACATATAGATTCTCTATTAAAAGTCTGGTCGCTCTATATTATTTGTTCTCCCTTTTACAGTGTGCACCGGGCCTTGCTCACTTCTCTCCTGGCTTTTGCATTCTCCTCTCCCTTATTTAGAGCCCTTGAGGAGACTAGAAAGTCCATCTTCAGTATTTCATGAATACACCATAGAAAATAAGAGGAGATTGAGTTACTTGCAGCATTGAAGTTATAGACTTTCTGTTAACAATGTGAGGTCCCTTTAAAACTAAAAGGAGCTCCCCAAAATCCACTCTGCAGTCCCAAACAGCAAGGCCACTAATGAAACAGGAGGAAAATGATATCTCCTGTTCCGATTTGCCGATCCCACATGCCTCCCAATGTGTACATTTCTTGCCAGGAATATTGACAATTGCTTCCCTTTACATAGTAGCAAAGATCAAAGGCATCCTTTATGAAATGCCTTGTTTAGCTGCTTATCGATGAATAACCAGATCTGCTTGTTTTTGTACTTCCTTCGCACCACTTGGTTTTCAAAAGGAAACACCCACCTATAAACTAATCATGAACAAATGATGTATTCTTTTAAGCATTTAATATGCATGCATTTTTGTTTCATTGTCAGTTATTCTCATTTTAATCTTAGTGGACAGATACAACTAAAATGAATTTGTCCATTATTTTGTTGATTAGGAGCAAATGGATTGTCCTGCATTTTAGTTTTACTTCTTGAAGATTGAGTCAAAGATCTTATTCCTAAAGAGCAATTCTGTTACTTAGTGGGTCCACAAGGAAGGCTTGACATGGTTTAGTTAGCATCCACAGCTATGTTACACGGCTCCAGACCGAACTGTCATTGATTCTTAAAGCCTTTCTCCTGCTCATCCTCAGCCCACCTTCCCCATTTGAATCCCCCATTTCGGCCACTATAGAACAGTGTCGGATGACTTCACATGTGACTGGTGCAGAAGACCTGGCTGTGGTAAAGGAATGTTTTTCTATGACTTGGCTGATTTCACCCTCACCTTTTCATACCCACTCAGGTTTAAAGTTTCGTTTATGAATTGTATTATTTAAAAAATCTGTTAATAATCTAGAATTGATCGATAGAACAAAGCCTGGCCACAAACCTGCCATAATTCCAAGTAACAGGAACTCTGCATTAGGACTGAAGATGAAGGCTTTGCGTAAAGCACAAGCCAAGAGTTCTCCGGATGACTGCCAATCATTCTGTTGGAATTCAGTTCACGTGCAGGTATAGGTGAGGCAGCACTAGGTAGAATCAAAGGAGTAGGCCCTTAACTCTAACAGTTAAGGACACTAAGGAAGACAATTTGCCCGGAACTGTCCGAAGTGCTGAGTTATCTCCGGCTCTGAATCCGTGAATCCGGCCGGACCTGCTTCTTCCAGTTGTCTGGAATGTAGACTCATGATTTTGCTCACCACTCGGACCAGTTGTCTGCCTGCACCTGTGTCCTGAACGTCATGACCCGGGATCCCCAGAGCTGGGCCTAGGCTGGCTTTCACGTGTCCAGCTGATCCACAGCCATGTTCCGGAGCAGCACTTCCACTGAAACTGTCAGTTTTCTTCTGTGCTTTTCAAATAAAACAAAAATGTTGTTTATCTACAGATGAGATCAGTTATTCTTAAATGTTGCTTTTAAGTGGGCATAAGACCAGTTGTTAATTTCTCCAATTTTTAAGAGGATCAAATCAAGATGAGCAAGATATTGGGGCATATGATAGAATATAGTGGAAATATATCATTTACCCATAGCTCTATGGTTTCTCCTAATCATTATGCATATATATATATATATA